AGTGGTGATCCTCGGTTTGTGCCAGGGATGCAGAGCACCGAAGGCAAGTGGAATTGACGTGAATAAACATTTCCACGTTGTATGCCAAATGCAGTTGTAGAAAGGTTTGAAGAAAATACGTGGATAGATTTTTGCAAAGTCAAGGGAGTATTTCCATGATCTAGTAGAATCTCGAATATTTGCAGACAGAAAGCCAAAGGAAATAGGTTTTGAGTGTTATTGCTAGAAAGGCACATCTTCTAGTGAAAAATACAAGTGCCTGGGAGAGGGGCTCTGTAGATAAGACCATTCTACAAGTTAAGAAGTATTGGGCCTGGGACTTCCCTGGTGGTCCAGGGGCTAAGACTCCATACTCCCAATACAGGGGACTCAGGTTCTAGCCCTAGTCAGGGAACTAGATCTCACATGCTGCAACGAACACCTGGCTCAGCCAAATAAATAAATGAATACTTCTTAAAAAAGAATTGGGCCTATTTAATAATCTCCCTTATTTACCAATTCCTTATCCCTCTGTCCCTCCTCTTTTTTCTTCTTTGCTAAAAAGGAAAGGGGGGGGGGGAAGCAATATATGCACACAGTAAAAGATCCTAACAGTATGGAAGGGTTATAAATGAAAAATTAAAGTCGTTCCAAAAACCTCCTACCTCTAGTCCCTCTTTTCAAGGTTCAGTTCAGTGCAGTTGCTCAGTTGTGGCTGACTCTTTGCGACCCCACGGACTGCAGCACGCCAGACCTCCCTGTCCATCACCAACTTCCAGGGATTACTCAAACTCATGTCCATCAAGTCGGTGATGCCACCCAACCATCTCATCTTCTGTCGTCCCCTTCTCCTCCCACCTTCAATCTTTCCCAGCATCAGGGTCTTTTCCAAGGAGTCAGTTCTTTGCATCAAGTGGCCAAAGTATTGGAGCTTCAGCTTCAGCATCAGTCCTTCCAATGAATATTCAGGACTGATTTCCTTTAGGATGGACTGGTTGGATCTCCTTGCAGTCCAAAGGACTCTCAAGAGTCTTCTCCAACACCACAGTTCAAAAGCATCAATTCTTTGGTGTTCAGCCTTCTTTATGGTCCAACTCTCACATCTACACATGACTACTGGAAAAACCATAGCTTTGACTATATATGAACATTTGTTGGCAAAGTAATGTCTCTGCTTTTTTATATGCTGTCTAGGTTTGTCACAGTCTTTTAATTTCATGGCTGCAGTAAACATCTGCAATGATTTTGGAGCCCAAGAAAATAAAGTCTGTCACTGTTTCCATTGTTTCCCCATCTATTTGCCATGAAGTGATGGGACTGGATGCCATGATCTTTGTTTTCTGAATGTTGAGTTTTAAACCAGCTTTTTCACTTTCATCAAGAGGCTCTTTAGTTCCTCTTCTCTTTCTGCCATAAGGGTGGTATCATCTGCACATCTAAGGTTATTGATATTTCTCCTGGAAATCTTGATTCCAGCTTGGGTTTCATCCAGCCTGGCATTTCACATAATGTGCTTTGCAAGTAAGTTAAATAAGCAAGGTGACAACATGCAGCCTTGACATACTCTTTTCCTGATTTGGAACCAGTCTGTTCCATGTCCAGTTCTAACTGTTGCTTCTTGGCCTGCATACAGATTTCTCAGGAGGCAGGTAAGGTGGTCTGGTATTCCCATCTCTTTCAGAATTTTCCACAGTTTGTTATGATCCACACAGTCAAAGGCTTTGGCATGGTCAATGAAGCAGAAGTAGATGTTTTTCTGGAACTCTCTTGCTTTTTCTGTGATCCAACAGATGCTGGCAATTTGATCTCTGGTTCCTCTGCCTTTTCTAAATCCAGCTTGAACATCTGAAAGTTCTCGGTTCATGTACTGTTGAGGTTATCTGCTATTAACTCTTGGTTATCTGCTGTTAACTCTTGCTCATATAACCTTCCAGAAAAAAATTCTTACATATACTAACAAAAACATATACATGGATGGGATAATACTGTACATTTTGTTTTGCATCTTATATTTTTCCTTAATCTAACTTGGTGAGTTTTTTATATGAACATACAGAATTTGGGAGCAAAAGATGTGTGATTTTTGTAGGGGGCGCCACACCATACCTCATTCAGGGATCTTAGTTTCCTGACCAGGGATTGAACCTGTGCTCCCTGCAGTGGAAGTGCAGTCTTAACCCACTGGACCACCAGGAAAATCCCAAAGGATGTGTACATTTTAAATTTTGATAAATATTGGCAAATTCCCCTCTAAAATGGTGTTCCCAATGATATTTCTATCAACAGTGGATATTATTACTTTGAAAATTTTTTTACTAGTCTGATCGGTTTTCTTTCAGTTCTGAGGAAGAACAGAATTTGATGTTTAAATGTAGCATTCTCCTGTATCTTGTTTTCCCCTTAATATGATTGCCAAAAGAAGGAAGGTTTGGCTGGAAAATTTAGAAGAGGTGAGAATGACCAGGAACTCTTAATCCTGTGAAAACTTTCAGGGTTGATTTATTCGGAAGGAGAAGAATTTTTTGGATATCAGACAGTTCTCTTCCTTTCTGAATCAAAATGTTAATTTTAACTACTTTGGATGAAAAAACATTCCCAAAATTATAACCTCCTGGAGTTTAAGATGAATATAAAAAGAATCATCTTGATGACTTAGGCCCATCCATCATAGCCCTGGGGTATAATTTAGTGATGTCCTTAGGCCATTTTGAATATGTAGGAGCTTTTAATACCCTTAGCTAAGTAGCCTCAGGCTGATATTTTGAAAAAATTCCTGGGTCTGTTTTTGATAACTTTTTTTTACCGTTTCCTAGCTGTCAATTCTCACTTTGAAATTTGTCAGTTTACTTACAGAGGCTCCTTTACTTCTTTTTAGTTTCCTTAATGTGTCACTTACAAATGTGTAGAAAGTAGGTGTAAACTGCCATTTAATGAGGCTGTTGTTGGTCTTTTATGAGTACAGTCTGTTAGGTTAACACACAGGCCTTGAGGGATCTCTTGGCAGTGGAAAGACTCTGTGGGTAGAGGTTCCTCATTTCTCTTGGGTGGGGTAAATGTTGTGTTCCACTTGTAGAAAAGAAGAGTGCTGAAGAGTTATTAGCTGTGGTTGGCAGCTTTCACTAGGCCTTTTGGGATTCCAATAGAAGAAGAAGATATAAGAACTTCTCTGAGCTCGATGGGTCAGTAAATAAAAGGGGCAAGTTGATCGATGGCTCCGTGGTTTGTGTGATGGGAAAAGATAGAGAGGCGAGCTCAGGGGAGGTCAGCTTCTGTCTTCCTCACTTGCAGAAGGATTTTAAACTTGATTTATGCTTTATATTTGTCCTGGGGACTTCCCTGGTGGCTCAGATGGTAAAGAATCTGCCTGGAATGTAGGAGACCTGGGTTCAATCCCTGAGTCAGGAAGATCCCTGGAGAAGGGAATGGCTACCCACTCCAGTATTCTTGCCTGGCAGGCTCCTCTGTCCATGGGGTCAGAAGAGTCAGACATGCGTGAGCAATTAACAATTGTATTTGTTACATACTTGTTCTACTTGGCCGGTAAGAGAGGACTATTCTTTTGTATTCAGCTAACCTACTTTGTCCAAAGCACTGCCAAATGCTGTGAAAGTGTTAGTCTCTCTGTTGTGTCCGACTCTTTGTGATCCCATGGACTGTCGCCTGCCAGGCTCCTCTGTCCATGAAATCCTCCAAGAATACTGGCAAGAATACTAGAGTGGGTAGCCATTCCCTTCTCCAGGGGATCTTCCTGACCCAGGGATGGAACCTGGTTCTCCCGCATTATAGGCAGATTCTCTATCATCTGAGCCACCAGGGAAGCCCTGCCAGGTGCTTTATGGGAAATCACATGAAATAAGACATGGCTTATGCCTTCTAAGGGCTTATAGTCCAGTGACAGAGAAGGACCGGGACATAAAAAATAAAGAGGAGAGAATGACGGGTTTTGGAGTCAATCAATTAGGGGTATCTCAGTTGCACTGAGAAAATTCAACCAAAGCAAAAAGGGACTTAATGTTTTCTGGCACAGCATGAGCTGGGGCTCAGATGGTGTCCCTGGCCTCCATCTGTTGCTCCTGTTTGAACTGGGCTGTCATCTGTGTTAGGCTGGTTTCCCTTGTGGTGTGGCAGCAGCATCCCTCACATCCCACATGCCCACAGAGCAGAGAGCCATTCTTTTTTTGGATCCCCCAGCAAATGTTTCATTGCTTTTCATTGGCTCTGGCCTAGTCACATGGCCATCTCTGAGCCAATCACTGTGGTCAGAGGGTAAGTTGTGTTGATGGGTTTAGCCTATGTTACAGCTTACACATCTGGAGCTTGGGCATGGTGCTAGCTTTATGCAAAGCACATTGGCTGTGGATGGGGCAAGGATGATTCCATCAAAGCCAAAAAGGACAGTAAAATCATAAGATTGGAGAATGCATTCTGGCTAGTCCAAGCATCCACCAAGTGTTCCCACAAACATGGTAATGAGTGTGAGCTGAGACTAGACATTCCAGTCCCTACGTTCTGTTTTGGGACACTGGAGACTGAACTGGAGACTGTAATTCTTAGATTCAGGTATTATTTATATTTTGAGCCTTAAAGAAAGTCAAATGTCATTTACAAGAGCATGAACTCTGGAGGTTTTGAGTCCTGGCTCTGTTGCAGCTGGATCATCTCCTATCCTATGAGCCTTATAAGTACAGTATTGTAAGTATAATATTAGTCCTTACTCATAGGGTTGTTATAAAAGCTCACAGAAAGAATCTATGTAAAATACTAAGTACTGCACCCACATACAGTTAGCTATAGTTACTTTTACTGTTTCTCATTAGTTAACCCAGTTAGGCAGTCTTTTATTTTTGTTAGCCCATATTATAAAGATATTACTTAACTGGGTTTTGGGGAAGAATTAAAAAAAAAAAAAAAAAAAGAACATCTTATTTGTAAGGTTGGCATTTGTGAACTGAAAACAACAACAACGAAAAAATCTTGGCAGAGATCCAGGCTCCTCTTGAGCAGCAGCAGCTGGTGGAGAAATGGAGATGCAATCCTATTATGCCAAGCTCTTGGGGGAGCTGAATGAACAGCGGCAGAGGGACTTCTTCTGCGACTGCAGCATCATCGTGGAAGGGCGGATCTTCAAGGCCCACAGGAACATCTTGTTTGCCAACAGCGGCTACTTCCGTGCCCTGCTGATTCACTACATCCAGGACAGCGGGCGGCACAGCACCGCCTCCCTGGACATCGTCACCTCTGACGCCTTCTCCACCATCTTAGACTTCCTCTATTCTGGGAAGTTGGATTTGTGTGGGGAGAACGTGATTGAAGTTATGTCGGCTGCCAGCTACCTGCAGATGAACGACGTGGTGAACTTCTGCAAGACATACATCAGATCCTCCCTTGACATCTGCAGAAAGATGGAGAAGGAGGCTGCGGTGGCGGCCGCAGTGGCTGCAGCAGCAGCAGCCGCGGCAGCGGCCGCAGCAGCTGCCGCAGCTCATCAGGTGGACAGTGGAAGCCCCAAGAAAGGGACCCCCGGTGAGACCAAGAGCTTGGTCTCTCCAGCCGAGGGGGAGGAGAGGGTGGACAGACAAAGAGAGCCCCCCAGTGGTGATTGCAGAGGCTGCTGCCCTCTGGAACTGGTGGGGAAAGGCAGCCAGGGCAGTGGCTGGGCCGACAGTGACCGCTCCTCTCGGCCGGAACAGATGGAGCCCAAGGTGGAGTTGGGTGCTGTGGAGGTGGAGGTGGAGATGGACGGACAGCTGCAGCCTCCTGCCACCCCACTGAGCCTGGCCCACCGGGAGGAGGGTTTGCCCAGTGGCCAGGCTATCGACTTGGCTTACAGCAACTACCATGTTAAGCAGTTCCTAGAGGCACTCCTGCGCAACAGTGCCGTCCAGAGCAAAGAGGATATGGACCAGCACTTTTCTCGGAGTTTGGAGGGAAGACCAGATGGTGCAGGAGTAGCAGCCATGAGTTCCGTGATGGATGTGCAGACTGACTGGTATGGAGAGGACTCAGGTGAGCTCCATGAGCCTCCATCATCTCTGCCGCTCATTTCGCACACGCTGTGTGCCTTCTGGTCTCCCACCACCGTCTCCCATCATTGTCATTGTCACTACCGTCATCATCACCACCATAGCATCCCCATCATCACCCTCCCCACCGTTATCTCCACATTAGCGCTGCCACCACTGCCAGTAGTATTAATTGAGCACCTGCTGTGTCCAGGGCATTGCCTCTTCATGTATGTATTTATTTATTTATTTTAACCTCTACAACTAGAGTATAAGTGTGTTGAATGCAGTTTGGAGACATGGAAAGAACCCACTCTCTTCTGCTAACCACAAGGGGGACTTTGGGTAAATTCATGAAATTTCTTTGAACCCCTTTTTTTCTTCAGGAGATAATCACTCCCACCTTGCCTTCTTACAGAGTTGAGGACCAAATGAAAAGGTTTTCAGAACTTTTTTTCTCACATATGAGAACATGTTCTGTACAGGTAGGAAATTTATCCTTCTTTGTGTCAACCATGGTGCCTGACCGATGTATTCAGTTAACATGTCGTGGCTGATAGTGTGATGTCCTGGAGAATATTTGAGAGTTGAATTGGGCTTCATGTAGGTAAATTTCTTCTATCCTTTGGTAGGATTTTGTGTTTTAAGAGAACTTAGTTTTTTGCGGAAACAATTCTGAGAGATGGGATAATATGGTTAACTCTTCTTACAGATGAGGTAATTGTGTTGTAAACTGTCTTATTGGAGATAGAAATAGACATGGCTGTCTCCTTACTGATGAAAGTACCCTTGGCTTCTTTTCAAGCCAAGAAATTAATGAGTCACATTTCTAATTCACCCTTCAGTACTGTGCAGTGAAAGTTGACTAAGTAAGGGGAGGTGATCTGCTCTTATTCATTACTAAATGACTATTTCGAGACTTTAAAAAAAAATAACACGTACACATGGGGTCGTGAAAGAGTTGGACATGACTTAGTGACTAAACAACACTACACAGGAGAAACCCAGGAAAACTGAGTCTGTCTGGAGACTTTTAAATTTCTTGTTTTTTTTTTCATTTTAACATTTTTTAATGAAAAATTACTTCATCCCTGCATCAAAATTTCATTTTTTTAAAAAAAATCAAGAATGCTCTGTATGTCTGACCTAATCTAGACTTGAAAAACTAGAAGATATGGTTTCTGGTCATCAGAGACCCTGGCTTAACTAGCATGTAAAAGTTAGTGGTTGTTTTTAGTGATTACCCTATGGGAACTTGTTGAAATCTAATTTCTTTGTAAAAACTTAATTAATTTTTGCACCACACTCTTCACTGCGGTGCACGGGCTCCTCATTGCGGCGGCTTCTCTTGTTGTGGAGCACAGGCTTCAGGCATGAGGACTTCAGTAGTTGTAGATGCAGGCTCAGTAGTTTCAGCATGTGGTAGTTTAGTTGCCCTGCAGCATGTGGAATCTTCCCAGACCAGGGATGGACTGGGTGTCCCCTGCATTAGCGGGCAGAGTCTTAACTATTGGACCACCCGGGACTTCCAAAACCTAATTTCTGTGTGAGAGTAGCACTTCACAGTCTATGTTCCCCTTTTCCATCCATCAGCCCCTCGTAGTGCCATGAAAATTAGGTGGAGGAAGTATGGAGAAACTGAGACCCAGAGGGTTTGGTGAGTTCCTTAAGAATATAGAACTGGCACATGTCACCACTAATGCTCTTTGATAGCAACCCAAACCCAGGCTGGCTTCATTTCACTCGTGAAACAAGCTGTGAAGGCAGCACAGATGGTTAGAGGATTTCAGTGCACTGATTTTATCTCTCAACCCCTCTGCCTGTATCACAAGTATCAAGAAATAGAAATTCAGGTCTACGCCACCTTCATTCAAATCCATCTGTCCATTTATAACGTCAGCTTTCCAACTCATCCTGTGGCAAGACAGTCTCCTGGCTTCTTGCCTTGCCTGTTATCTGCTAGGTTTTGATTCCATTTGCATGGCTCCAGGGTACATTTACTCCAAGTGCCAAGGGACAGAGTAGGACTGATTTTTTTGTTTTTTCATATATTTGCTCAAATACTTGAGCACCTTTCTTGTGAAGATACAAAGATAAGTCAGATATGGCTCCAGCACTCAAAAAATTGATGGCTTCTTATAGAAGCTAAGCTGTGTGAAAGTGGCACCATGTGGCACAAAGGTACTAGGGCTGGAAGACAGATGGAGGTGTGAATTTCACAGCGGTCCAGAGCAGAACTGGCTTCCACCTGTTAGGTTAGAGAGGCATTATGAAAGTGGCATCTGAGTACTCACTACTGTATATAAAATCGATAAGTAGTGACTTACTGTATAGCACAGGGAACTATATTCATTATCTTGCTGTAACATATTAATATAATGCAAAAGAATCTGGAAAATAATATGTATATGTGTAACAATCACCTTGCTATATACCTGAAACTAACACAATACGGCAAATCAACTATGTTTCAATTTTTTTTTCTTTTTTATTTTTTTCATTTATCAATTTTTTTTTAAAAGTGGCATTTGAGGGTAAGAAGAGAAAACATAGGGAGAAATTTTAGTCAATCATGGAAAGCCTTAAATGGTAAGAGGCAAGTTTCTATCTATAAGCAGGGGAATTTTTGGTAGTTTCTGAGCTTGGGAGTGGACAGGAAAGATTAATTTGGCCTCAGCATAAGGTAGTGAAGAAATGGGAGACCAGGGCAGGGAGATGGTGAGGAGGCAGTTATAGTACTTGTGTATTCACTCATCTCTGACACTAGCAGACACTGTCAAAGCACATGATCCTCCTATAATCTCTTCTCCCCTGGACCTCCCAACGCCAGCCTCACTATCTCCTGTTGTTTCCTGAAAAGTCCATCTATATTGGCCACTTCTACTGTTTTACCTCCCATTCTTTTCTCAGCCCACTGTGAGTAAAGACCCCCACCCCACACCCCACCTGCTTCATGAGGTCAGCTGTACATTTCCAGAGCTGATCCAGTGAGTAGTTTTCAGATGTTACCTTTCTGACCACTCTCAGTAGTTAACTCTGATCTTTCCTTCTTGAAATTCTTTCTTCCTCTGGCTTCTGACATCTTGAGCACCCATTGCTGTTACCTTTGTCCATTTTTTTGCAGCCTCATCATGGGATCGTTTAATGTCAGTGTATCCAGCATTCCATCATGGCCTTGCTTCTTTAACGTCTTATCATTCCTGTTCATTTATTCATTTAACAGATATTTATTGAGCACTTCCTGTATGCCAAGCACTGTTTATAACAGTGAACAAAAGACAGTCCTTGTCCTCATGGAGCTGACATTCTAGCGTTGTGAGCCATACAGTAAACACATAAGTACCTGTATAATAGGAAGAAGAACTCAAGCAGGCAGAGTTGATTGAGAGTGAAGGGATGCTGTTTTATTTACTGTTGACCAGGACTTGCTAACAGGTTGCCTTTAAGCAAAGACCTGAAGTGAGTAAGAAAGCAAACTGCAGAGATATCAGGGGGAACATTCCAGGCAGAGAGAAGAGCATGTGCAAAGGCCCAGGTGTAGGATCACATTTGGCAAGTGAACAAAAGGAACAGCCAGGATGTTGGTGTGGCTGGAGTGGAGTGACCAAGGCAGAGAGTGTTGGGGGATAAGGTCAGAGAGGTTGGATAAGGGTGGACCAGGTAGGCCCTTGAAGGTGATGAGAAGGTCTTTGAGTATTGCTCAGCAGAGAGTGACTTGAGATGACATGTATTAAAAGGATCCTTCTGAGTACTGTGTGCAGTTACCTTCTAAGTGGGCCTCTTGCTTCCACTCTTGCTTTCTGATAGGCCACAGGGGAGCATAGGCCACAGGGGAGCATAGGCCACAGGGGAGCATAGACTATAGGGGAGGATGTGGGAGTAGGAGGACCACTTAGGAGGTGACTGCAGTAACTCAGGTGAGGGGTGTATGCTTTCTTCTTTTTCTATTTTTTTTTTAACATTTTATTTATTTCGTCTTATTTATTTATTTATTTGGCTGCACCAGGTCTTAGTTATGGCATGTAAACTCTTAGTTACAGCACATAAACTCTCAGTTATGGCATGCGGTTCTAGGTCCCTGACCAGGGATTGAACCTGGACCCCCTGCGTTGAGAGCACAGTGTTAATCTCTGGACCACCTGGGAAGTCCCCTTTTTCTATTTTTTTAAATTTTATTTTATTGTTTGGGTATAATTGCTTTACAAGGTTGTGTTTCTGATGCACAACAAAGTGGATCAGCTATTGGTATATACATAGCCCTCCCTCTTGCCTCTCTCCCACCCCACCCTCCTTGAATCGGTGTGGTAGCAGTAGACAGGTGAGAGGTGATTGGGTTAGGACTGTGCTGACTATGAAAGATAGAGCTGACCAGTTTCTAACGGCTATATGAGTGTTAGGAGAAAAAGAAGCATTAAAGATGGCCTTAATGTTTTTACCTTGAGCGATTGATTTAAATGTTATGTTTGTAGTGCCTGTTGGATATCCCAGTGAAGATGTGCAGTAAGCGATTACATCTATGAGTCAGAGCTGAGATATAAATCTAGGGGTTATTGTTGGGTCCTCGCAATTTAAATCCTGTATATTCCATAGATCTAGAAGGAGAAGATAAGAGAGCTAAGGACTGAGCCCTGGGACGCTCCAACATTGAGAGGTCAGGAAAATAAGGGAGCCAGTGAAGGAAACAGAAGGGGCAGTCCGTGAGGTAGCAGAGAATCAAGAAAGAGTGTTGTTCTACTTCCCTGGTGGCCCAGTGGTTAAGACTCTGTGCTTCTAGTGCGGAGGGCGCAGGTTTGATCCCTGGTGGGGAAAGTAAGATCCCACGTGCTGCATGACACAACCAAGGAGGAAGGAAGAAAGAGTGATGAATGTCAAGAGAGAAACCATTTCAAGATAAAGGAGAAATCAACAACGTCCAGTACTATGTGTAGGCAGATTGAGAACTGATCATTGGGTTTAATAATGGAGAGGTCATGGGTGAGCAGTATGAATGCAGTGGTGGGCAGA